CGGGAAAGGAATATTGACTATTGTTACTGTGATCATACTCCTGTAGATATTGAATTTTCCTGAGGGGAGTTTGTAATCTTTTTCTATTTTGCTAGATAGAGAAGGGACAGGACTAGAGGACTAGATAGTGAATCTTTAGGCTGGGTCAAATATTGTCTTAGAGAGCAGAAAAGCAGGTGAAGACTTAAGGGGTCGAGGTGCTCTGTAACTATCCAAGGGCTGCAGACAGCCAAAATAGCCAGTGATAAGTTATTCTCCAAATAATGAAACATGTAGAAAACTACCAGAAATTTGGCTCCATTTCATCAATGCAAAAATTGCAAGAAAAATAAAACAGGAGAAAACAAAAACAAAAACACTTGATGGAAGCGATCAGCAAATAAGCCTGAATGGCAATTAAACCCTTAATACATTGTCTGTTCAGATAATGAAGAAAATGAGAAAAATCAACCATATCTGATGATACAAAGTGAACAGTATAAATATCTTAAAGAAATTAGTACATTGTGGTTATTCATGAAATATTCATGGATGAGACAATGTCTCAGATCTGTTCCAAAATTATGTGAGGGGCTAGAGGAAAATAAGTGGAAATTAATATGACAGGGAGCCGGGCACTGGTGGCTCATGCCTGTAATCCTAGCTACTCAGGAGGCTGAGATCTGAGGATCGTGGTTCAAAGCCAGCCCGGGCAGGAGAGACCCTGAAACTCCTATCTCCAATAAACCACCAGAAAACTGGAAGTGGCGCTGTAGCTCAAGTGGTAGAGCGCTCGCCTTGAGCTGAAGAGCTGAGGGACAGCGCCCAGGCTCAGAGTTCAAGCCCCACGACCGACAAAAATAATAATAATAATAATATGACAGGGAACAGCTAGAAGTTGACAATTTTTGAAGTTGATGCTGGATACATATGAGTTCATTACATTTTATTTTTGTATATATGTGAACATTTCAAAATTGAAAGTTTCAAAGGAGCTGAGCAAAGGTAGGATTCAGAGAAGAACACATCCTTAGACTTTGTCACAGCAGTTACTCCTGTGTCAGCTACTACAGGGAGCCCAGGACATATCACTTCAAGTCTAATAAAGGCCCACAGGCCTTTCCTAATTTGTGGGATCTCAGCAGGTGTGTAGACTGCTGTCTCAGAGACTCCAATTGCCCCACCCTACCTCCCTTGCTACCCAAAGAAGAAAATAACTTTTAGCTGCTACTGTTAGGGAGTCAGACTTGTTTAGCCACTAGGTGAATGCTTATGATTACCATGGCTTCCTTAATTGCTCTCATGTGGTCTCCACTGAAACCACAAGGAGTGGTCTCATTATCTCATTCTGGTTGATCCTGGAAATCCTTACCTCTCTTGACCTTCGCTAACACTGGCCCACTTTACAGCAAGGCCTCCTCACTGCCAGTGAAAGTAAACATTTAAGAAATTACTCATTCAGCCTGGGTGGCTGTAGGTATATGTGGAATTATAGTGTTTTATATGTTACTTGTCCAGGGTGTAGTGGTTTCCTTAAATGATTTCTTTCTTGCTAAACTGCCCTGATTTGATTCTTATTTTGTTCAACCATTGATCGTATTCTTTGAGGTTCAGTCAGCTGTTTATGTGTTTCAACTCTTATTTCATGCAAGTGCTTTTATATCTGTTTTAACTTCTTTCATTATTTTTGACACCGTCCTTCTGAGTTCGCTGTGAAATTCCATCTACTTCATTTTCATTTAGTTTCCTTTATTATTTCTTTATTTAGTTGTCGGCTTTTGGATGTGTCATATGGCCTTGGTTTTTTTTTTGTCACATTGCTAATGTTTTTTCATTTGGATTTATGTATCTTACGATGAGGTTTGGGTTGGGGGCTTAATCTGCCTTTTTTTAGTTCAAGATTTCACAGCATTTAGATAAGATTTGGTAGTGGCTGGGTTGTGGTGAATTTTTTGTAATTAGAAGGGGGTGTATGATTCAGTAATTAAACATTCACTCACTGTTTAAGTTGTGTCCAGTCCTCAATTCCACTGAGAGAAGTTCGGTTGCACAGATGATATGCATCCACCATGAGATCACATTAACCCCTAACAATGACAAATCATGGTTTATTTCTCCAGTATCTTAAGAAGAATAATGGAGGAAAGATGATACTTAGTTATCTAGGGGAAACTTGGTGAATACTGTGGTAATGAAACAGAGATAAGGAAGAGTAATGCTAATAAATATTACCAGAGATATCTTGTTATAAGTCTAGAAGGGGTGGTGGCTGAGGATAAGAGAAGGGGGTAATAGGAAAGTTAGAACGAGGGCTGAGAATGTGGCTTAGTGATAGAGTGCTTGCCTACCATGCATGAAGCCCTGAATTTGATTCCTCAGTACCACATAAACAGAAAAAGCCAGAAGTGGCACTGTGGCTCAAGTGGTAGAGTGCTAGCCTTGAGCAAAAGAAGCTCAGGGACAGTGCCCAGGCCCAGAGTTCAAGCTAGGACTGTCAAAAAAAAAAAGAAAGAAAGTAAATTGACATAGGTAGAAATGATGAATTGAGAAAGAAGATTAATGATGAATTGAGAAAGAAGGCAAAAGAGATTGGAAGAAAAATAGACAAAAAAAAACTGGCATGGTGATCTAATTGTCTGTCAAAGTATACATAACAAAGAATGATGGATGGGGGGATAGAGGCAGAAAAAACATAAACAAGAGAGCTATTCTGTTTGTGGAGAGAAAGAAAAGGTTGATAGGGGAAGATAACAGGAAGCAAAAGATATGGTTGCAGGTTGAATATTGAAAGAATCGCCTCACATGTAGTGATTAGGAAAAAAAAGAGGAGAAAAAGTGCAGCTAACAAGATGGTGAGAAATAGAACAAAAACACTCAAATCACAAAAATATTATTAAAAGTGAATTGAAAATATTCAATAAAGATAAAGAGCAATAAAATCAGTGGAACTTCTCCGCTGCTCTCCAGAGCATCATCATCATCATCATCATCATCATCATCATCATCATCATCATCATCATCATCCATCCCCCAAATCTGTAGCATTCAATCCACAGCTAAAAGAATTACTTGAAGGCTTAACTCAGTGTGATGTCAGTTAATCAGAGTCTAAGCCCTGGGATAAAGTCCCCTTGCCCTGATCCATTCTCTTTCTATCTTTTATTGTACCTTACTTTGAGATAGACGATTATGGCCTGCCATAATGCAGTGATTCAAAGTTCAGAGTCTGATACCCTCGACACACACAGACGAAGAAGAACTACACAGCTTACCATCAGCGTATATGGAGTCTTTCCATATCTTCTGCGCTTGGGACAGCTGGTCTGTTCTATTCAACTATACAACCCACCCATCCTGGCTGTCATCTGTCTCTACAGTATGAGCTTGATCGGAAGGATATATCCATGGCCCTCACGCTCATTTTGGTTCTCAGTTTACTTAACCTGGGGTCCGGTAAGCTTACAAGTTGGACTGTTTTCTATCTCCTTGTTGATCAGTGGGTTAAATTGTTTAGCTACAGTGACTGCTAAACTGTGAAATGGTGTATTTTCTTTGTCCTCTTTTGTATTCTGTTTTCTTCAATCCCCTGCCTGGTAATTACTGAACACCAGGATTATAGAAATAGAGAACAGTGCGTGAGACTGACACCATTAAAACTATTCCAGGGGGAGGAGAGGGAATAAGGAAGAGTAATAGGATGTGTGTTTGATCCAGATACATTTTACGGATGTATAGAAAGGACATAAGGAAAATGCTTTATACAATTAACATACAATTAAAAGAGCTATTGCATTGTCCTCAAAATAATAGGAATCAAGGAGTTGGAGAGAGGCAGTGGTGGTGGACAGAGTACATACCCAGGATGTCCTAGGGAATTAATTGTTGATTCCCAATGTGTTATGGAGCATTTCAGTTGAATACCCATGTCTGACTTGGGTGCATGTCAGACATGCAGGGAGTAAAGATTATGTGTCCATCTTTGAACATGCTGCGTTGGAAACATCTAGGGTGTGAAATCTAAGGGGAGAGGAGTTAGGGTATAGATTTTTTTTTTGGTCGGTTGTGGGGGCTGAACTCTGGGCCTGGGCACTGTCTCTCAGCTCTTCAGCTCAAGGCTGGCACTCTACCACTTGAGCCACAGTGCCACTTCTGGCTTTTTTTTATGCTTATGTGGTGCTAAGGAATCGAACCCAGGGTCTCATGCATGTGAGGCAAGCACTCTACCACTGAGCCAACTTCCCAGGCCCGGGGTATAGACTTTTAAGTGAGGAATGCATTGGTACCTGGCATCATTGGAGCAGAACTCCACACTGATAGCAAGTCCCTGCTCCGGTCATCCATTCTGTCACCAAAGGTGGGGGCCGGTGGGGAATAACTGATCCTTTTCTTGCTAGCATTGTCAGATACTGTGTTGTGTTTTCACAATTACATCATGTCTAAAAATGCCTGTCACCTGCTTCTAATATATTCTATATTTGTCCAACTCATGATTTTTTTTTTGTCGGTCATGGGGTTTGAACTCTGGGCCTGGGCGCTGCCCCTCAGCTCTTCAGCTCAAGGCTGAAGAGCTACACTTGAGCCACAGCACCACTTCTAGTTTTCTGAGTGGTTTATTGGAGATAAGAGTCTCAGGGACTTTCATGCCTGGGCTGGCTTTGAACGCGATCCTCAGATCTCAGCCTCCTGATTAGATCAGATTACAGGTGTGAGCCACCGGCGCCTGGCTCAACTCATGATATTTTTAACTCCCAAGAGTTTATTTTACAAGTTGGGGAGCATCTGTACACACCTCTAAGGATGTTGGTGCAAACGGAGAATGACAGGCACCAGAGGTGTTCTATCAGGTGTAAGAGGTTACAGAGACACGAGTCACTTGATTTAGTAAGACCATCATGAAAATCTTCCACCCTTGTCCACCAACTCCTCATTCCAGCCCTGAGTAAGACACACCAAATGGATTTTACTCAAGTTAGTTATCTGCCCTTATTCCCCCCCTCTTCCCACCCCCCGCAGGAGCCCAGTGGCGGTTGATGGGGCCAGAAAGGTTCCTTTCAGCCTCCAGAGGGCAGGATGTAGAGTTCTCCTGCGTCCTCTCCCCCGAGACAAGTGCAGAGCACATGGAAGTGAGGTTCTTCAAGAATCAGTTCGATGTGGTGGTCCATCTCTACAGAGATGGGAAAGATCAACAAGCTACGCTGCCAGAATATCAGGGGAGAACCACGTTTGTGAAGGATTCCCTTGCCAAAGGTCATGCCACCCTGAAGCTGGCCAAAGTGATCCCCTCAGACACTGGCCTGTACGGGTGCTGGTTCAACTCCCCGACTTGCAGCCAGGAAACCATCTGGGAGCTGCAGGTGACAGGTCAGTTTCTTGTTTCCTCGGATTTGCTGAGTGTATTGTCTAATTGCAACCATCCTGTTCTTGACAGTTTAGTGAGTGAGGGTATTTTAAGTCATCTAAACTGACAGTTCATTCTGCCTTGGTGTGCTCATTTTATAGTATGTGTAGAGTCTTGTGACGATCATCAAGTTTATAAGAAAAATCTCTTGTGTATATTGAAATATTGAACTGCCTCATCAGCCCCAAATCTCAATCTCTCTCTCTCTCTCTCTCTCTCTGTCTCTCTCCCACACCCACCCTTCTTTCTCACCACCATTCCCAGGCTCTGGAAATCACTAACCTGTTCTCCATCAGTGTACATTTTCATGTCCTGAATGGCTGATGATTCCAGAATCTTCTGAGCTTGTTTGTCATCATCTGTCCTTCTCCCCAATATCCTAAGGAGATACTTTTACAAGCAGAATAGATTTTCTTGTACCTGTGTGTGTGTCACACCATTTGAGGGAAAACTATAACCATTTTTCATCATTCTAAGTGCTTCAAAGAACATTTCTCATTCCTGTATCCTATCCTTGAGTCTAGCAACAACTATTTCACAGTCAGGCCCTAGAAATTGGACTCTTCTAGTTACCTCCTATCGATAGAATCACATTTTTGCTCCTTTGTTTTTGGCTTATTTCACTCATTATTTCATAATGTTTTCAGGATTTGTCCAAGTTGTAGAATATATCTACCTCCTTTATTTTTAAGGTTTGAATAATATTCATATATCTATGTCTATCTATACATACCATTTTTTAAATATATTCATCTGCTAATAGACAGATTGTCTGATTCCTGTTCAGCCAGGATTAGTCCTTGTCCAAATGTGTGGGTATACAGCTGCTCATAATACTTTTCTTTTTGTGCTGGTCCTGGGGTTTGAACTCAGGGCCTGAGTGCTGTCCCTGAGCTTTTGTGCTTGAGGCTAGAACTCTACCACTTGAGCCACAGCTACACTTTGGCTTTCTTGGTAAATTAATTGGAGATGAATTTCATGGGCTTTGCTGCATGGGCAGGCTTTGGATTCTCAGATCTCAGCCTCCTAAGTAGGTAAGATTACAGGCATGAGCCACCAGCACCCTGCTCATAATACTTTTTAAAATCTTGTGTGTGTATGTGTGTGTGTTATGAGACAGAGTCTTGTTATATAGCTCAGGTAGGGAATCTATTGTATATCAATCCCTTTGTTAGAACTTGCATTATCATTGCTTCATTTATCCACTCAAAAAGTATTTATTAGACCCTTGGACCCATCTAGAGCACAAAAGGAATGTTAGAAAAAGCAAAGGGGCCAGGCACCGGTGGCTCACCCCTGTAATCCTAGCTACTCAGGAGGTTGAGATGTGAAGATCACAGTTCAAAGCCAGCCTGGATAGGAAAAGTCTGTGAGACTCTTATCTCCAATAAACCACCAGAAAACCGGAAGTGGCACTGTGGCTCCAGTGGTAGAGCACTCGCCTTGAGCTGAAGAGCTGAGGGACAGCGCCCAGGCCCAGAGTTCAACTCCCCCCCATACACACACACCAAAAAAAGCATAGGAAAGGTAAATTCTTTTTGGCAGGAGGATATGGACAATTAAAAGTGATCATATTGAGGTTATCTGCTTCATGATAGTCTACGTGTACCCCCTCTTCCTGGCATATGTCTTCTTCTTCCAAATAATGAAAGGCCCAGGCTGTGTGCTAACTTAGTCATGCTTCTACAGTTACCATTTTCATAGAAAACAACATGTGTTTTCTAGTTGCTTCCAGTGTCGCAAGCAAATGTATCCTTCAAAGAGATTCTGTTACTCGTTGCATTGTGTTTTCTCCCCAGAAGTGGGTACCTCTCCTCTCATTTCCATGCTGGAATTCGTCGGTGAAGACATCCAGCTGACCTGCCACACCTCGGGATGGTTCCCTCAGCCCATAGTCAATTGGAAAAGTCCACAGGGGCCTCCCTTTCCATCTGAATCCGAGACCAAGAAAAGCCAACATGACCTGTTTGATGTGGAGACCTCCCTCACCGTTCAAAAGAGTTCTGGGAGTATAGCATGCTCAGTTCAGCACCCTGGCCTGAGCGAAGAGTTAGAATCCACCGTGTGGATAAGAGGTGCGTTGGGGCAGGAGGAAGATACAGGGAAGAGACCAGCTGTCTACCAAAAAAGTAGGAAATGATTAGAAAAAGACACATTAGTTAAGCAAGGGAAGTTACAGATGTTAGTGTCTAGGAAAAAAGAGATTTTTAAGAAAGAAAAAGAACTGGTAGGAACAGTTATTTCACAAAGAAGAAAAAGTTAACTCACCAGGAAAAAAAAAACCTGCCATTTAAAGTATAGCCTTTTATTATAGCATATATTAAATGTATAAAGTAAACATTGATAGAAATATAAGAACTAATGTATGTGATTCTAAAACTGATTAAATAAGTAGGCAAATTAGCAATAAGATACACCATTGGAATAACAAATTAAGCTTAATATTTGGGGCTCTTTTTTGTCAGTCCTGGGCTTGAACTCAGGGCCTGGGCACTGTCTATGAGCTTCTTTTCCTCAAGGCTAGCACTCTGCCAGTTGAATAACAGTACCACTTCTGACTATTTCTGTTTCTGTGGTACTGAGGAATCAAACCCAGGGCTTCATGCCTGCTAGGCAAGCACTCTGCCACTAACCCACATTCCCAGCCCTGGAGCATTTTGTAAAGGGATGACCAGAGCTGAGAGGAGATGGGGAACCCCGCCCTAAAGCCTGACAAGAGCTTGGAGACATAGGGAAGAAACAAAGGCAAGGGCAGGTGATCTTGGTCAGGCTATAATCTGATTATTGTCTCAGGATTGGTCATGGAAAACCTTATCCGTGGCATAAAGTACCTTCTGCTCGAGAGGGGATGGATAGCTTCATTTCAGAAAAAAATTAAAGCAGACATTGAATATTTATATCCCTTCACGGGGTATAAACACAAACAATGGTTTTCAGAAATTTTCAAGAAATTGGTATTCAACCATGTTCCCTAGCCATAGTCTAGTTAGGGGTAGTTTAACTTCTTGTCACAAGGTGTTCATCAATCAGACATTTTGTTCCTGAAATGCAGGGAGAAGGCAGGGACGAATTACTCACAAAACAAGTCAAAGAGGCAAGCTGGAGTTACTTAGGTCAAGAACTGGGCACAGTAATGAGGAAATGGAATGATTATTTTAGTATTACTATTAAATGTGTTTAACTGTATATATAAAAAAGAACTGGGCACTCTTCTGGGGCCTAGGGCAATGAATAGGGACCCCTGAGGTCTGGTACAGGACATTGTAAGAGCTGGCAGCTAGCAATCTGTTTATTATGGTATCACCACAATATCATCCTGTTATCAGCTTGGGGTCATCTGGTAGGAAGGGAGGATTTTTCATTTTGGAAGAACACTCCTTAAATAATGAATGTGTCTATGGCCAGAGGTGAGCAGGACCCTGACTCCAAGTTCAAGGCAGCCAAAATATACACATGCAATACTCTGCCTTGAGCAGAGCTGCCAAGGGTTTATCCTGTTCACAGTGCTCATCCGGCATCTGCAGCCCAGTAACGATGAGTCAGGGCTTCTAGCAAAAGCAGTCTCTAAGACCCTCTTATAACCATACCTCACTTTCTCTGTAAATAGCCAAATCCAGATGTATCAAGTCTTATTCAAAAATTCCAAGTGGTAAAGCTGAAGAGGAAATTATAGTTAAATGTCCTATTTCCCCACCCCCTGTAGTACATAGGGATACCTTAAGAGAAACTTAAATTCCCTTCCCTGCTCAATACTCACTAAAGGATCTATGGGACTGTTTTTCAGAGGCGATTTTCCAGCCCTCACCCTGGAATACGGTTTCTATTTCACTAAGTGCCTTCTGCTGTGTCATATATTTTGCTATCATTTCAATGAAGATTTCCTTCACCAAAATCCAGGGTAAGTGAGTGGACCCGTGGCTAGTTTACACTTTCAACAGAGCTGGGGTCTGTATACTTCCAGGTACCAACCTGAACCTTTTCTTCTACACCTGGGTCATGGTGACCATAGTTCTCATGACTTCCTGGAAAGGCCACACCTTCTCAAAGCTCATTCTATTTCACATGTATGGATAAGAATTGAAGCAGGATAGAAAACGAAGTCTGGTAAACTTACAGCAAATGCAGGAGATATTCATTTATCTATTTCCCTTAAGAAAGGGACCAAAGTCATTTAGGGGAAAATGAGGTAGGGATAAATTGATGAAAATGAGCCTGGTGAAGGTATTTAGAGACACTGAAGCTATCTTTGCTTCAAAGAGAGACAACAGGATGCATCCCTTCTTGAGAGATGCATTTCTCACCCCAACCATTAACATTTGGCAGGATGTATGCCTTCCTGAGAGAAATGCTCCCCCAAAATGTAAGCAACAGATGACAGATGAGTTCCTCATCTCAAGGATAAGGATGTGTTTTACGGCAGGATGCGTTCCTACCTGGAAGAAATGCCCAAAACATCCAGAAACTCAGAAAGCGTAACACCTGGAGTGATTAGAGCAAAGATAAAACATAACTGTCAAGCCAGGCCCCTGCCTTTACCTAATAAATAGCCCTAGCAGCCAAGGAGCTGTATGTCCCTCTGTCTCTGCTCCAGAGCACCAGCACTGAATTAGAATGTGTGCCTTTCTTTCTGCTTCTCTGTCTGCTTGCCTGCTTGCTTGCTTACTCAATAAAGCTCCGCCAGTTTTCGTACCATCATGACTTGTCCAGAAATTCTTATTCTATGATCAAAGTCAAGAATCTTAAGTGGGGGCTGGGAAGGTGGCTCAGTGGTAGAGTGCTTGCCTTGCATGCATGAGGCCCTGGGTTCGATTCCTCAGCACCACATAAGCAGAAAA